TCATTACCTTTGGCTCTTGATCATATGCATCCTCTTGAAATGGTTGAACATTGACCATTTCTTTTTGGTACAGTGACTCTGTATATTCCTTACATCTTTTTTTTGATACTTTCTACATCATTCAACATTTTGCCCATATTGTGGTTGTTATTAAGTGTTGATTTGGTTCCGACTCATACCAATACTGTATAGGGTTCAGAGGAGCGGCTGGTGAGTTTGCACTGCTGATCATGAGGTTTAAACCTACCTTGTAGTCCATTCTTATTCGATAGCATCAAACCATTGTTGTTAAGTGCCGTTGAGTTGGTTCCGAGTCATAGCGACCCTGTCTAGGTTTCTGAGTAGCAGCTTGTGAGTTTGAACTACCTGCCTTGTGGTTAGCAGTCCAGTGCTTATCCTTCTGCTCACAACAGCACCACAGCATAGATTCCTTCAATATTTCAAGTCAAGTTTTGAAGTTTTCCTTCTGTTCTTTCAGCTTGAGACATGCTGAGCATGTTCTTCCCTTTTGGTTTTCTAACTTTAGGTCTTTGTACGTTTCATTATAATATTTGACTTTGTCTTCTCAAGCTGCCCTTTGGGATTTTGTGTTCAGCATTTTTACCTCCTCATTTCTTTCATTTGCTATAGTATCTCTACGCTGAAGATCAAGTTTCAGTCTCTTCAGACATCTATTTTGGTCTTTTCTGTCTTTCTTGTCTTCTTAATGACCTTTTGCTTTCTTCCTGTATGATATTCTTGATGTCATCCCTCAACTCTTCGGGTCTTCAGTCATTAGTGTCTAATGCATCAGATCTGTTTTTGAGATGATCTCTAAATTCAGGAGGTATGCTCAAGGTCATACGTTGGCTCTCATGGACTTGTTTTAATTTTCTTCAGCTTCAACCAGAACTTGCATATAAGTAATTGATGGTCTGTTCCACAGTCTGCCTCTGGCCTTACTTTGGCTAATGATATGGAATTTTTTCACCATCTGTTTCCACAGATGCAGTCAATTTGGTTCATGTGCAATTTCATCTGTTGAAGTCCATGTGTACATTCACCCTTTATGTTGTTTAATGAAGGTATTTGCAATAAATAAATCATTGGTCTTGCAAACTTCTATTGTGTAATCTCCAGCAACTTTTCTATCACCAAGGCCATATTTTCCAACTACTGACCCTTTCTGTTTGTTTCCAAACTTTTTATTCCAATCACCAGTGCTAAAATTGATGGATCTATTGAAGTATCATTTTCCATTAGAATTTTGGAAAACAGAACATTTTTGTTTAAATTATTGAAGTTTTAGAATAAAGTAGATTTGGGGATCCACACAAATTATAAGACAAAACAAGAGACTTTTAAACTGTATGTTCATAACAACCTGCTTTGGACTACTTCACTAGACCCCTTAAGGTATGGTGTGTTTTGCCTTACTTTTAAGTAGAGGTGTGTATTTAAGAGAAGAGTTTTAGGAGAACTGTATGGCAATCTTTTATTGTACAAAATTTCCTGATTTTCTCCACTTTATAGATAAAAAGAGTGAAAGGACTTGGCTAAAACAAAACACCCACCTTGTTGGCAAAACACTTTTCAATCTCAAGTTTCTGGACATCTGCAACAACTTCGCCATTAGGTAAAATAGTGTAGACAAGCAATTGAGCAGTTGGAGCAATATCTGATTCCACTCGAAAGGACAAGGAAAATACTCCTTTCACTAGAGAATAAAGACAATGCAAGATAATAGATTAGGAGCAGAGATTTCAACTTTATAAAAAGATTCTGAGACTATTTAACTTCTCACATTGTACCAGACTGTAGCAAGAAAAGGCTTGTACTTAGACCATTGTGTGTATAGATAGTAGTGTTGGATAAGCATATATTGGAATAATGACATTTTTCTTGAAAATTGTTGGTTTAATTATTTATTTTCTCTGCTTAACAAGGAGAAAAACAAAACAAAACATTGAGTGCATGTCTCTGTGAATTTTAAAAAAATTAAAAGAAGTTGCAAGATAAAAAAAGAGATCATTTCTAGATATTTTTAGTTATCTCTATCTAAAACCCCATTCCACACATTTCTTGTTAGATGCACAAGAGCAGCTCACAAAATGCAGCTCAATCACCATCTTTAGGACATTTACAATCCAGCAGAGTGGATAAAATACAGAAATCCTTTGATTCCTATAAAAGAACTTTACGTATTTATCACAGTGGATGCTTTCTGTGGTTTGTGTAAAGTTTATCAAATGTAATTTACTTGATTTTTATATAAAGCGTTCTAGATTTGATTTT